GTTTGGAAAGAATCATACAAAACAGCAACTTGCCTTCATAATTCCAAAGTCATGGATAATGAAGTGTTAACTTTTTATTTGATTAGGAAAACATTAAGGGACACATGTTCAAAGTGGAGTGTAGTAAGTCAGCTGAACTTCCATTCATGCTAATGGAGGCATTTGGCTAAGTTCCCTAGACAGTGCTTTGAACATACCCCTAAAACTTTAAAATACACTGTGAAACACAGTAAAACATGGAATATTTTTAGGTTCTCTATTCCCTTTAAACACAGCAAAGAAAAAAAGTAAAGACAGTCTTCTTTTTTCTTTTTAAGAAACACACACAAGGGAATGATGTGCAGCGTTTTTGGTAATGTTTCTGTTTTAAAGCTTTTGAATCTTGTACAATTTTAGAAGTCTAAAAAAATCCCTCAAAATATCATTTAGTGCTAGGTACTGGCATTCTGGTGTCTATGAAATAGTCTAAAACAGAAGAGTCACATCATTTAGAAAAAGCACTTTTTCCTTCCACAATTTCATGACAAATATAGATTATTTTGGAAGTACTGGGGATTGAAGCCAGAGTTTTCCCACCAAGCTACCTATGTCCTCAGCCTTTTTAAATTTTCTATCTTGAGACATAGCCTCATTAAGTTAATTAGGTTTTTCAGGAGAGGCTTGAACTTTCAATACTCCTGCCTCAGCCTCCTGAAGTGCTGGAATTATAGGCATGTGCTGCACTCTCCTCTAATGTTTCTTTTAATAAACGAGAGAGTGAGGATTTTAATGGGCTTCCCTGTTGACAAATAAGTAATATGCAGTTTTAGTTAATGTGACTTGTTAGATTTCAACATACAGCTTAAAAATTACCACCTATATGAGAACAGAATTTCTGTATGAATGGAAGAGCATAAGAGAGCACCTAGTTGACAACAGCAGATTTAGTCATCTATAAGCTCAAATGACTTGTGTTTAATCGAGTATTGCCTTCCAGTGTTAACAGAAGTAGATGGATTTAGAGCAGAGATGGTATCTGCTACGTTTCTTGTACAATGCTCAGACAATACTTAGCATATGGTAGCTGTTGTAGATTCAATATATTGGTAAGGGTGACAGTTGTTGACAACTCCGACACATCCAGAAAGACATGATCAGAATGCCAGAGTCTAGTAGATAGGTAATATAAGAAACATTTAAAAGATTAAACCTAAAAGAGAAATGGGGATTGTGTCACAGTTGGCTAATGACATTTTAAGATTTTCACTGTAAAAAATATACTTTTTCTGCATCATTTTAAGGAACATAAATAGAAGACATATGTAGTGACATAGCTCATCTTTACAGAGCTGTCCAAAAAACTGAGCTTCTTATCACAGGAAATGAAAAAAATGAAGGTATTTAGAGGATTTTTGCATTTAGAAGGAAAGTGGACTTCAGCAATGTTTCCTTATTTCAGTTAATTATGAAAATGGGATGTTTGTATATCATTACCATCACTTTAATATAGATACCTGAAACAACACAAATACTTAATCAATCAGAATCTCCAAGGAAATTCATCTGTGATAGAGAATAAGTTTTTTTTGTTTTGCTTTGTTTTCTTTTTTTTTGTACTGGGGATCGAACTCGGGACCTTGCACTTGTGAGGCAGGAGGCAGAACCGCTGAGCTAAATCCCCAGCCCAGAGAATAAGTTTTAATAAAAGAAGAAAAACCTCTCTAGGGAAATACTGACAGCAATATCTAGAAATGTAAATATGATTTTTTTTTGAAATTTTAGAGTGTGGTGATGCTAGAGTTCAACTCATGAAACAACATTTAGATATATTATTAGAAACTGTTCATAAAATACTGATTATAGCTGCAAAATTTATCTGTCTGAACTTCATATTCTTAGGAATTCTCAGTCACTCAATGAGTTTTATTAAATGTATATTATGTATTCTGATAGGCCTCGGGAAGAGGAAATAGTTATCATCGATAATCATGGATTTTGCTTTCAGAAATTAGAGCCTAGAACCCCTCTGAAATTAAGATTATGAAAAAAAAGATTACGAACAGGCAAATAAGCTGTTGTAACTCATAAAACCAATTGAGTTCTTGTAGTATTTCTTCAGATTGCCTAGGTTCAGATTTGCCCTCCAGCATTGCAGTTATGGAATCATACATAGGTGAAGGTCTTCAGCTTTCTGTCCTATAGTTTTACCTTCTGCAAAATGAGGGTAATAAAAGCACTCACTTTTAATGTGTTGAAACAATTAAAAGTGTTCATAGTACCTGCCCACAAGTGATAATTAATTGATGGTGTGCCTGATACTGATCATCATCACCAAATAGACATCTTGACAGGGAGTTTCTGAGGAAATAAAATCACAATTCACTGGGGATATTATCTTATTATTTTCATTGAAACTTTTGCTATGGAAACCTACTAGGCATCTGAAGTCAAATGAAGACAAGCCAGAAATTTAAAAATGAAAGAGATTGTGGGGTGGGTAGGAAGAGGAGAGAAAGAGGTCATGGTCATGGAAACAGAATATGTCATTAAAATGTGTAAATATCTCTGCCTTTGGGAATAAATGGCAAAATCTTCAAAGCATTTGGGTATCTACTAAAGCCAACTAAAATATTTCTATAGTCATTTGATTTAGTCAATTTGTTCTGCTCAGAAAACATGTCTATATGTTAGAAATTGTTTCATGAAAAGTAATGCATTTAATATGCTTGATTATCTTCAGATAGGAAGTTTTGATCAAAATAAACTTACTTGCCTCTTAATTGCGTCAATATAATAGATTCTAGAGGAATTTGAAAATCGATAGGTAGACTAATTTAATTCTTTTATGGAGAAAGTGTTTTCTTCATTTACACTCATAGATTATCTTCCTTATTTTTACTTTTTACTTGTAAACATATTTTCTTGTATGTGGATCATAAACATTATTTTTATAAATTCCAGCAACATTATGTATAAATTGAACAAATATCTAATAAACAAAGTATAAATAAATTTTCTCTATCACTATCTTGTTTCTCTTTTAATTTTTAAAAAATAAGCAAGTTTATTTTCATTTCTAAAAGCTCTTTGTCAGACATAGGACTGGCTTTTTGCAGTATAATACAAGGTTTTATTGAATGGCAGAGTAAAATCACCCACATTAAGCAAGAAGGGCTAGTTTGACAGAGTAATGACATTAACAGCCCTCTTGTTGGTTTAAAGACACATAACTCAGCAATCACTGTACAAATCATTATATTTTGGCTAAAGTTAAATGCATGGAGTAGTGTGAGCAAAAAGGAAAAGAATATAGCCCATGATGATTTCAGGATTAATAAAATATGTAAAACATTGATATATATCTAGATGCAGATATATAGGTTTCTCCCTATATATTTATATCCATGTTTTATATAAATATGTAACACTTAAAGGCGCTTATAATTATATAAGGATTTATTTGTGAAACAGCACAAAAAATAAACATCTTGCTAGCCAGAGAAGCCCCATGTAAGAGTCAAAGTTACTTTTTCAGGATTTCGCTTATGTCTTGAAATTGGTTAAGCCATCCATTTTTGAGTGACAGAGAAACTTCTGTGTCAGTATAATCTAGAAGATTTATAAACATATTTTTCTGCTATTCACTGAAGATTAGTTGTCATAGTATGATTCAAGTTTGGGTTTTGTAAGACCTCACTAGAGGTTATATACCTGGAATCTTTATGTAAAAATACTATAGGAAGGTATTGTATGTGTGTTGAAATCATTGATGGATCTATTATTATTATTATTATTATTATTATTGCTTTAAAAAGATGAGAAAGTTAGATAGAATAAACATGTAATTTCTGAATTTAAATGTTTTAAATTACATTGCAAAAAGCATACAGTTTTATTTCATCTTCCAAGGCTGTGCATCTCTGAATTGCTATATCACACGAACTTTTCCATTTTCTTTTGCTCTGATTCCTGCAGTTTGCCATGATTTTCTCCATGATTCCCAATCTTGCATGTGATCACCTTTTTGTGTTTAAATAGCCTGATAGTTAAGATTGAGATATTTCTTATTTAAAATTCATATAAGTTCTTAGTGTCTCTTTTGTGTGCTAGAAACTTTAGAGAAAATGATACCAATTGTTAATATTTTATTGAATTGTTTTTGTAGATGTTTACTGATATAAAATGTGAATTTCTTGTACACAAATTATAATACAGTTTCAATCTCATATACCATGTTGTATAGTAATTACCTTATAGTTATGTGCTATTTTTGCTAATAGTTATATTTTTTAGCTGTGCTTCCATTATTTGTTAATGGTCTGTGTTTTAGAATTATGTTTATTTTACATGTCACAGGTCTGTTTCAAATCACTATATAATATATAAATAATAGATTAAATGTTTAAAACATGTATATATTTCTCAAGTTCTAAAAGCTATTTATTCAAGATTTTAGGCAAAAAAATGAGATGGTAAATATTTTCCAAAATGAAGATAAAACTATCTTTACAGACTAAAGAGCTTAATATCAGCAGTGATTTCCAAAAAGCAAGCAAACAAAAATAACAACAGAAAAACTTCCATGAGAGTCCATCTTCAGTACTTAAAAAATGCAATTGTGTCATTTTGTTTAGAAAGATGAATATTATCTTTATATTTAAAACCATATTTTAAACCTTTTTCCTAAGCATCTGACTCTAAGTCATAAATCATGACTAAATCTTCCAGATGCGGTAAAAATCATGACTATAAAAAGAATACTTAAGAGATTAACATGTTTTCAGAGTATTTTATGTGGTCAGCTGTACGAGTTTTGAAGTTCTATACAGGATACAAATCAAAAGAATTTCTCAAATTATTATTTTTTGGGCATTGCTTTATGCACTTAGAATGTAATTAGAGACTGCTCAATAAGGGGAAATAATGAATAGTTAACCAAGTTTAGTAAATATAATCTAAGAAAGTAAGAGAACAAAAGCAATAAAGCATAAATGTAATATTTGTTGTTTTATATATTCCAGATTCAGAACAATTTGTGGGCAGGAAATGCAAGTGGCGGTTCTGTGGTTACTTCATGCATGTTACCACGTGACACTTCCTCCTGTATGACACCTTATTCTCACTCACCTCGGACAGATTCCAGTTACACAGGGTTTTCAAACCACCAGAATCAGTTCAGCCACATGCCCCTCAACAATTTTTTCACTGACTCTCTTCTTACCGGGGCTACCAATGGACATGCATTTGAAACAAAGCCAGAGTTTGAAAGGAGATCTTCCAGTATTGCAGTTCTTCGAATGAAAGCCAAGGAGCACACCGCCAATATTTCATGGGCCATGTAACATATAATACTCTTTTATTTTTCTTTTAATGGCAAAGTAAACCATTCTTATTTCTCATATTTAAAGGATACCACAATAAGCTGCTGTGTGTGGAATTGCTAAAGGTCAAGATATACAGTGAGACCAGCTTAAATGAATAGTTGTTATTATTTAACATTAAGATCTAAGAATGAACCTCTGAAAACACTAAATAGGTTTACCATGTCTTCACAAACTCTGTTTTAGTAGTAAGACTTTTTTTCCCTATTGTACAAGTCGATGAAATATGGTCATGCAACTTCTTAAAAGAATAAATGTATTAAACAAATTCCTCTGTTATAGATTGATTTATGTTAGTTCTGTATAACAAGAAATCCCTTGTAAAATAATACCTGATAAAGGAGGAAATGCACTGGGGGAAATGTCAAGATACTGAAGCTGTCAGGTAAATATTGAACCAGGGTATTTCAGGGAGTTAACTGGCTCTCTGGCTCCAAAAAGCAATGGGCATATCCCCTGTTGCTGAGAATTTATCTTCAAGCCTCAATTTTTTTTTTTGGCCTCTAGATGTTTTAGTGAATTTTCACTCAGTGGAAAAAGAACTCTTCTGAAATGACCAACATTTTCATGAGATATTTAGGCATAGTTTCCTGAAACCATGTGTATAAAGGTGACAACTAAAATATTCCCGTGTGATTTAAAATATGGTCATGATGACAGTTTTTATAAATGTCACTTTTTATTGAAGAAACCAGCATGGATTCAGTGCCTTGGTAATCACAAAGAAGGAAAAATAATGACCAAATATGCTGTGGCTTTTAAACTAAAATTGTATTGATTGGACTACACACAAAAACATCTAATAAATACACTAAATAACATTTTCAGTTAAAGGAGCAGCAAAACAGAATTTTATATTTATTTGGTGAGTATGTGCCTGATCAGACATGTGCCTGATCAGACATGTGTGTGTGTGTGTGTGTTTCTTCACATATCATGCCTTAAGCATTTTTTGCTACTGTGGTTTTGCTTACAGAAGTAAGATGTCAGAAGGCTCTCTAAAATTTCTGGTGAATAAAGAAGAGAAGAAAAATACATTGCATCTGGAAAATTGCTAACCCCTTTGATTTACTTCTCCTCCCTTTCCTCTGTCACATTCCAAGCTTTTTCAGATGAGTGAAATGTCAGCCTCCTTGAAAGACTCAAGTTCATAAAGGCAAATAAATTAATTGAAACGAAAATGACTTCCATGGCTTGGATCAGAGTAGGATCTGCTCTTTGTACTCTCTTAGAATCTTCTTGTGGTTCCTACAGATTTTAGGGATCTGCTTGGAAGCTTTAATGTCTAACGAACAAGAATAAATGAATCCTTAAAATCTAATTTTAGAACAAGTACTTAAATCCAGTAACTCTCCTAAGAGGGAATATATTTATGACGATTAGACATTTTTTGTAATAAAATTTTAAATCAAACAGATGATGGAGATGAGTGATGTCTTAAGCAAACATTCCCTGACTTCATAACAGCTCTCTTCTTTATTGCTTTTTTGTTCTCTTTAGTTTTGTTCCCAAGAAAAACTTGTTCAACTTTACCCCTGTGAATTATGCTTACATGAGGGGTCTTTTTTAAAGGATTATTTAGGCAGCTGTTAAATATCCTTCATATTTTAGAAGAGAATGACTTTTAACATACAGTGTTCATCTTTGTGGTTAATAGGAATTTGCAAACTAAAATTTAGAACTGAAATGTTAGATTTTCTTTTTTAAAGATTTCACACATGAATAGTATTAATTTTCTTCTGCTTTTATAACTTAAATTTTAGTGACTGACTCCCAGCTAATACCTTGTATTTCTCATAAGTTTGAATTTTACCTTATTTCTTAGTTGTCTTATTCCAAGTTTTTCTCTTCTTTATATTTAATAACTATTCGGAATTCCTATAACTCAGCTGTTTCTTATTTTCATTTCAAACTAATCGAGTTTTACATCTGCAATGCTCTGTTTAAATGTAATTTAATTAGCACAGTTTTTAACACGTACAGAGTATGAAATCCTGTGGGATTTCAATAATAAAACCATGAGTTTTGTCCTTGGTGAAGTTACAGTCTTCCTGGCCAGACTCACACTTAAAGTTCACACCTTTAGCCACATTAATGTGCCACGTTATAATGTGGCAGTTCAAAGTGAATGAATACCTTTGTATTAATATTCCAGTTTGGTTCATTCTTGGCTGAAACTTTTATTATGTATTTAAGTTTCAAAATATAATAAAATGAACTTTTGATGTAATAGGCTAAGATAAAACTAACACAATACATAAAATACACTTTTCTTGCTCTTTTCGGACTTAGATTAAGCAAAGTTTCACACACTACAATTCCTACTGCTCATAAAAATGTTGAGCTTATATACTTAAAAGGAAAAAAAATAAGGAGTATTTTATGTGCTTTTATTTGGGATCATTATTGACAGCATTGATTATTCAAAGACAGGGTGCATTAAAAACTGAGATCTACATGAATATTTGTTCCTACGGGTGTCTCAAGCCCTGTGTGCCCCTTCCACATATTTTTTTCTTGCACAGATGGTTTGAAATGATTCATGTCATCTTTCTGAGAAAGCTTGAACCTCAAAGCATTAGTTTTTGGGAGTACTAGGCAAGGTTTGTTAAACATAAAATGAAATTTCAGAAAAAAATGTTTTATGGAATTTCAAGATATCTCATTTGTTCTCATTAGTATTAAATTGTGACATTTGCTTCTTACATAACACCTTATCAAAGTGGGAAAATAAAGCCACAGCAATCTTTGCCATAAGCCTGACAACACATGTAGGAAGAAAAACAGAATTACTTAACCTACGTAACCTTGAGGAAACTCATGAAGTGGAGTGTATAAATTATGGGAATGTATTCCTTTCATTGTTTCTTTGGAGTGTTGATTCTTTTACCTTCAGGGAATGGAGAAGAAACACAATCACACTTAATATAGTTCTTACACAGATCATATGTTGTTTCCCTTTTGGATCTTTATTTTCTTATCTCAAATACTAGGTACTTATTTTTACTTTCATAGTACAATTCACACAACATCACCTTGTGTTTTGTGTAGTGCTCTATATATAATGCGACAATTTTGCTTTATCAGTAACTAAATATTGCCTTGGATAAAATAAGTGAAAAGATCAATTACAATGTTTGCATAAACTTTAAAAATTTAATTTTCTAAATTTATCAGTGACCCCTGACTTTTGTCTTTCAATATTAAATTTAAATAATATTTTGTACAATGAGTGATTAAGTTAGATATATTGCTATTAAAAATGATTAACAAGTATGTTGCCAAATATTTTAGGAGAAAGATGGACATTACTTACTTTAAAAATCCCAATGAGCTGATTTTCTTTTCCCAATTATCTATCAATTAAAACAATTGCTTTCACCCATTTCTATTTTTAAAAATTAGGCATTAAAGGTACAAAATATGTTTCTTTATAGTTATTCACATTTTGTATTATATAAGGTACAGCATTTTGCAAGACAATCTACTTAATAAAATACACATTAAATAGTAGTTCTTATCCTCTAAGTCCACTAATATACATTTTATAAAAGCCAAGCAGTAATGAAATCAATGATCCAAATGAAAATAAAGTAGGAAATGAAATGTCTACTAGTAGAGATTCATTTATGGCATGAAACTTCAAAAACTGATTTGAGATATTTTATAGGGTAAAGTACAAGCTAAAACAGGATTTTTTCTTTTCTATAATTCTCTTTAAAAAATATCATTACTATCATTTAGCCTGGAATTTTATTGCCAAAGCAATGAGTAAAACATCAACATGGAGCCTTGCTAATTTTTCAGCTTTTCTGAGTAAAATAATAGTGTTGAAGGAAGATTTTTCTTAGTCTTAGAATTGTACATCAATATGTATTTTCTAAGCTCAAGGCCCAAAACCTTTCACTTGAATATTCTACCATGACATTATTTTATAGCATACCTTTGACTATAGAAAGTTTTATTCTGGAGTTTTACATGCATCTTCACATAGTGTATAGGCATACACTTTAAAAATTTAAGAAACTCTTCTACAATGATTGCTAACACTGTTAAAAGCTAGCAGGTTTTCAGTAGAAGGCTGAAGGAGCCCCCTACAGGACATTTATACAGTCCAAATTGTTGCACGTGAAAAAATTTGAAGGCTCAAAATTTCCCCATATTGCTAGAGCAGAACTCACACTTTAGACAGGAGGAGATAAGAGAGAGTTATCTGGAGATTATTTAAAAGAAATATGAGGATGTACATAGGTTACATGCAAGCACTGCACCATTTTATGAGATTTGCGTATGCGTGGTGATTGGTGCCTGTCTGCAGGAGTTCTGGAGCAACCGCCCCTGGAATACCGAGGGATGGTTATGGTATTAATACAAACAGTGACTTTGTCACCAATAGAAAGAACAGATATTTTCATATTATGTTTACTAGTTACTAGAAATTCCTTCAAATATTTACAACTGAAGTATATCAAGGGCAGTTTTCAATCTACTTCAAAATTCATGTAGTTTTTAGACTCAGTTAGAGCTTGTTTAGATCTTATTAGTTAAATCATGTATAAAATTCATAGCTCTTTCTATACCTTAAAGTTAATTTTGTAAATATTTGGAAGCCTGTACGTCAGTAAAGGTTTCCCTCTTAAGACTGTATTTTCTTTTATCTATATAAAAACATTATCTAAGAATGAATTCACATACTTCATCAAGTACCTAAAGATGTTTGGCATTAAAAACACCACATCAGGAACTGCCTCTAGATTGAATAATTTATTTTTCACCGTAGAGATCATGTAAGTTACGGAAGGAATAAAATAAAATTGATAGAAATTTATCAGATTATGTTTCCCTACCAGAATATGTGGATTAAAGAGAATGGGACTTTTTGTAGAAGTGCATTAATTTGAATGAAGGAGGTATTTCAGTAAGGATGTCTAAGAAATAGGGAAAGGGTATGTGCAAACAAAATATGCAGGAAGTTGGGAAAAGGTTTGTGAAATGTCCTTGTAAGAGTAGGGCTTTAGAAATCCTAGTTCTACCACTCTTTGTCAATAAAGCCTCAGGTAAGCCATTCAGCTAATTTTTCATCAATAATTGAAAAAGTTGCACAAAGTTTTAAATTCACAGGATTTTCACATTTATTTTCTCATTTTACTTTCACAGTTTTATGACAGTGGATATAATAATCACAATGCACAGATAAAGAAATTCAATCAGATAATATAAGAAACTTCTAAATCCAAATCTTCCTAT